CTAAACAAGAATGTCTCTTGGTGACTTCACCTTGTATTTTCAGTGTAGCAATAGAAGAAAGGAAGGTAGATAGCAGCAGCCTCTTAGAATTTTACTTCTGCTTGGGTAGGGAAGGGAGCTGACTCCAACCAGATGACGATGGGAAAGTGCTTGTTCACGAGAAACAACACTTCCTAATCAACGAGGCAGAAGGTGGACCATGTCGATAAAGTAACATCTGCGCCAAGTACCCACTGTACTCGCCCCAAACCTCAGCCTTGGCGAAGGACCACCAGCTGCTGAATTGACTTCCTGCTTCTTCCTCTCACTTCCTGTCTCCAGGGAAACTCTTTGACACACTGAAACTTTTTCTTGTTTGTGAAAGGGGAGTAAAAATTGAACTCGTTTTGCAGAACACTTGGAAGCAGTTGCTCCAGAAACTGATCAGCAAAACCCAGTTGTTTCTGCTCTCACCAGCGGTGGTGGTAAACTGAAGTCCTCTGGAGCAACTGCTAACTTAAACTCTGGAGTCTCCAGAATGATCCTCAACTGATGCTGTCCCTGGTGGAACCAAATACAACATTTAAAGGCATTTCCATAGGTATTATTTCTTTATTTTTTATCTTATGTGAAGTTTTGCTAACAAGTATGTAAAGAAGCATATGCATGTGATTCCTGTGGAGGGAATCAGATTCCCTGGACTGGAGTTACAGACAGGCATGTAACTATGAGCAACCATGTGGATGTTGGGAATCAAACCTGGTCCTCTTCAAGAGCTGCCAGGTTCTTAACTGCTGAGCCATCTCTCCAATCCCCTTCTTCATTTTTAAATTGACAGCCAATACTTGCATGACCATGTGGAGCAATGTGATGTTTCCTTACCATTCTATGCTATGTATGCTGACCCAATAAAATGAATCAAGACAGTCATTACCTCCAATACTCATCATTTTTTATTGTTAAAAAAACTGTTTAAACCTCTTCTTTTTTAGTTATTTAAAAGTTTCTAGTGCTTTCTAATGAACCATAAAGGTGATCTTTGTTGGACTACTCACTATGAAGTCCAGGTTAGCCTCAAACTCAAGTGATTTGCCAACCCCTGCCTCTCAAATGCTGGAATTAAAGGTGTGTACTAATATTTCTGTCCTAATAAAGGTTACATTTAATACATTTAAAAAAGTAAGGTTCAGGGATATAGATCAGCATGGGGAATTTGCCTAGCATGGATGAGGTCCTGAGCTCAGGATTCAGTACTGTAAACAGCAATACAAAACTCTGAGCACAGTGCCCAGACTTGTCTTCCCAGTACTCAGGAGAGAAAGGCAGGATTGGGTGTTCAGAGCTAACCTGGGCTACCTGTTTTCACAAACAAACAACAGCAAACTAACTGAATAAACTGATAAAGGCAGATTTTTCATTTCATTTTCTAGTTTTTGGTTTTTTTAAAAGATTTATTTATTTATTATGTATACAACATTTCTTCCATGTATGCTTGCAGGCCAGAAGAGGGCATCAGACCTTATTACAGATGGTTGTGAGCCACCATGTGGTTACTGGGAATTGAACTCAGGACCTCTGGAAGAACAGTCAGTGCTCTTAACCTCTGAGCCATCTCTCCAGCCCCCTCTAGTTTTTGTTTTAATACAAGATCTCTTTATGTAGTTCTGGCTGTCCTGGAACTCCCTATATAGAATAGACTGACCTCAAATTCACAGATATCCTCTTGTCTCCCAGTATTAGGATTAAATGTGTATGCAACCATACCCAACCTGATTTTGTTGTGTTTTGTTTTTGTTGTTTGTTTTTTTAAGCAGTTTAGGTTCACTGTGAAATTGAACACAAGGTACAGAGTTTCCCAGCCTCCTCTGACCCCCTGTAAACACAGCCATTCCTGTATGAAAATCCCAGGCGGAAAGACACAGCGGTTATACAATGCACCTGACACTGCAGCTGGCATGGGCAGACCACCTGGAGTCCTTTAGCGATCCTCTGTGTTTATCTCTCTACCTTCAACCCCAGGCAACCGCTGCCAGCTCTTAGTCTCTTCCAGAATGCCACATAGTTGGAATCATGCATTATATAACCTTTTCACACTGGCTTCTTTAAAGATTTTTGTTTTCATTTCTTTTTAAATTAGGGCTAGGGGGACCAGGGGAAAGTATTGTAATTCCACTAGAGAATACAGAGATAAATTCTTTCCAGAGATCGAATGGTGCTCCTCCTGCATGGTAGCTCCAGAAGTAATTTTGTTTATAATGTATAAAACGGCAGGTTTGTAAAAAGGAAGTTGAGATGAATTACCCTTCAGATAAATTTTACCAGAAGACTCAGCATCATGACCTGAGGTGGGAGAGCAAGGCTTCAGGTCTATAGAAGCACTCCACGAGGAAAGAGAAATACATCATAGCCATAGGCAGCCAAGAAAATAGGGGTAGCGCAGTGGGAGAGACAGGAGAGTCAGTCCTTCCGTTTAGAAAAAGCTAAAAGGTTTTCAGGGGGGTGTATGTGTAAGTTCCGTGTCGTGTGGCCTCTGTGGGGATAAGAGTCATAGTTCAGGGCTGTCCTGTGCTTGGGCAGTAAGAAGTGCAGAAAACTGATAGCTGCATCCAAGAGGGAGAGAACTCGGCTCTGTGAGAGCTGCCATGTCGTAACATCCCTCTTACAACAGGAGTAATGATGCCACAGGGTACAGCGCCACTCAGATGCCCCTTGGTACATTTCTTCCAGTAAATGGGCATTAAACCGATCAGGGCTGAGCTTGGGCAACACATGGTGAGCTCTCTGAAACTGTCACAACATGTCAGGCTGAGCAAATGGCCCGTATGCAGGCCACATAACCCTGACTGTAGGATCAGGGGAGACTGAGACTCAAAGAAACTGAGCCACTAGTTCAAGGTCCCCCAGATGATCCCAAACCTGCGAAATCAGAACCCAGACTTGAATCTCTACATAAGCCACCCTTGGTCACTATGTGGCCATGAATCCTTTCAGAAAAAAAAAAGAAATTCCTGAGCTTGGAGAGCAGGCTGCTTAAGAACAAATATGTCACACACAGTCATTCTAGCACTTGGGGGCTACCGCCTTAGACAGTGCAGAAAGATCTAGAAGCGAGGATAGCTCCTGGAGAAGAAAGGCACCTACATGACTTCTGTTCGATGTCAGACACAGAGAAGGAGGCTCCATAAATGAAAGAAAGTAGAGCTATCCACAGAATTGGCTTCCCATGGGACAATAAAATCTTCGTGGGTATCCCCAGGGTGGGACTGGCGGGGTACCACACAGAACCCTACGGGAGGAATCCTGATGAAGTGATATTGAATCCTCTGTATCTTAAACCTGCACTGTCTGAATCCTCCTCCAGTATTCTCCAAGTCAGTGAGCTCTACTCTCTAGGATTCTCCACTAGGAAGTGAGCTTGGCCTGGACCGCTGGCCTACATCAGAACCATAAGCTCACAAGAAAACAGGCGGACACAGTTCAAACTCCCACCCTTCCAGCCCCATACCCAGGAGTCGGAAGGATTCACTGTGACTCTGGAGGACTGGCAAGCGCTAACCCTGTTCAAAGCTGGTGTGACTTGGTGACAATTATCTGCAGGGAAAGGCTTTATTTGCGAGCATTGGCAGCTGTCACGGGTATAAGGAGGGGAGGAACCTCCAGAAAACACATCAACAAGTCAGTCTCTGGTAGTCAGCAACTCAAAGGGCTTGAATGGGACCCACGCCCTTGTCCCATTATTTCTGCCTCACAATGCACTGCTTGCTGTCGGAGGGAAATGCTCTGAGCAGCACAGGGGAGACCCAAGAAAGTAGTACATCTACTCAACCACCAAAGGAATGCACTATTGGTGGCGGGCACAGATGACGGTTCCCATCATGCATCACCTGCACTATCAGTCCTTCCCGTTCACTTGCCAGTGATTTGTGCATTCTGAAAAGCAGAATGCCAGCTACAGATCGGATGCCAACGAGTTAGAGAGGTGCTGCAGTCGGGGGAGAGCAAGCTGCAGCTTTGATCAACACGCAGAACACAGCTGCAGGAGGCAAACCACGCTTGATGTGCAGCTCTTAACTGAATGCAGCACCGATTTCCTTGCCACAGGCCAAACAGTCTGTGTGCCCCAGATTTCTCATCTTGAAAGCTCTTTGACGCCATCTTTCACAGTCTACATTTATGGTTTTTCTGCTAGGATTCAGGCATCTGTCCTGGCCTACTCTGGGGTCCTGACAGGATACGTCCTCAGCTGCAGCCACTGAGAGCACCCCCTGTTCCCTTTTAAAAGGTGGGCCTTGCCCACTTCCCATCTCTGCCCCTCTCTCTGCTCCCTTTCTGCCCCTTCTTTGCCCTCCTCCCTGCCTCCTCTTTGCCCCCCTCTCTGCCTCCCTCTCTGCCTCTTTCTCTCTCTTCCAATAAACCTCCCTTGTGAGCCCTATTTCGTGGCATGACTTCTCTTCCTGGTGTTTTTAAACAAATTACAACACTTTCTGCTTACTTCTCTGAACCTGGACACCAAAACTCACCAGCTAGTGCCCAGCAGAGACTGCCCCAGCTGCCCGGGTGGAGCAGGCTTTCCCACAGGGCGCTGCCTCACCCCTGAACCTCAGCCCTCTTCTCAGGAACCCCCTAAGACCTGAATCATTTTCTTCCTGCCCCTAAAGATACATGGATCAGATGTTATACAATAATGAATCACACAAAACCCACTAAACAGAAAAGGCTTAAGCGGCTCCCTCTGTCGACACACCAAGACTGTTGGTTCGGTAGTAGACACTTGATCTTGAAAATTGGGTTTCCCAGTAATTAGGGAGAAAGGTCCTTTCATTAACAGCTTCTCTACCATCTGGGTTACCTCCGTTGAATATGTAATGTGAGAAGCCACCAGAGCTGTGTATTGGTGTGTACACAAAATTCCCAGGATCTATACACCTCAATGTTCAAGCATTGCCTGCATGCTTGTGTACAGACATGCCACACATGTGTGTCTCTCACAGACAGATGCCCATAAGACAATGGCTACTCACACAGACAGATATCCACGAGGAACACGATGTACACTACAAGCTCCCTCAAGGTAGTCTTGACATAAAGTTCTCTGTTCTCAGCTGTATTTTCAGTCAGGGTTGTTCCCCAGAGTCCTAAGGATGTGAAAAGATGCTCAGAGTTCCCAACAGCACGTCTGTCCAGTTATTCATTCCTCCCTGTCCCTAGACCTCACGCCATCTCTACCCTGTTCTTTCCTGCCCATCCTATGACCCCTGAGGACTGGCTATTCCACCCGCACCCCTGCCTGCCCTCCTACAAAGCCCGTGGGAGACAAGGTGAAGACACTGGGTGGAAGAGAAGCAGTGAAGAGGGTGGACATCTGCTCCAGGTGGGCCCCCCACCTCAGTCCCCCAGGCACCACACTCCTCCATACCCTCTGGGTCCCCAAGTGATGACAGTGCCAAGTGACCTTTCTGAGAAACCAGGACCCTGGCCTCTGTGTCCTGGGCCAAGCAACTCTGACAGAAACGAATTGCAAACACCAAGATTTCTTCTTCTTTGGGTCATTTTTGTCCCCCCATCAAACTTGATGTGGTCCCTTTTCTGACTCCAACACCCGAGGAGACTCTGTCCTCACACCCAGTACCTCTGATGCTGTGGCAGATGTGGAAGCAGCAGCTGGACATCAGTGTTCTCCGTGTCTTCTGCTGGCCTCTGTCTCCAGGCTTCTTGGGTTGAGGCTGGGCGAGTGCCCCACTGGAGACAGTGCAGATCCTCAGGGTCCCATTTGGGGAAGGGGGGCTGCTATAGGCAGGATTGTCCCAGGCTTCGCTCCCCAGTGTTTGCTGCACCTGCCCTTTGAGACATTCCATAATATTCACAGGGAATGAGGTTGCGGCTGACCTGGCACCACAGGTGCCCACTCTCACAGGAAACACGGGGACAAAAAGGCCCAGCCTGACTCTGACAGCAGAGCCCAGGGAATGATGGCTGGGGCAGCTGCTCTCACTCAGCCTCTGCCTTCTGTCGGGTGGGGGAGCTGAGCTCACCTAGGGGAGGGAGCAGGAAGATGGTCATCAATCCTGTCAGACCTCCTCTCTCTCTCTCTCTCTCTCTCTCTCTCTCTCTCTCTCTGAGTCAGGGCATAAAAGGAAAGGAACTGTTAGGGATCTAGAATTGAGATTTAAAGATTTAAAGAGGGGAGAGAAAGGGGAGTGAGGATGCTATACAGACAGAGTGGAGGGAGGGAAGGAGGGAGGGTGGGAGGGAGGGAGGGAGGCAGGCAGATGGGAGTGCTGGGGTCGGATGGAGCCGGAAATGGGATGTCCAGACTTCCCACTGTTGAGAATGAGCAAAGGGCAGTGTGGGAGCTAGGGAAGGGGAAGGCTGAGGAACTCTGTGGTGGACCTGAACTGACATTCACTAAAAACAAACAAACAACAAACAAACAACTCCTGAAAGGACTAACAGGGATTAGGGTGAAGACCAAGGCCCAGGATGGGCAGCGTAAGAGGTGTTCCTCCACACCAGCTCAGTCGACGACCTCTCCCACCCCTCAGTGTGCCTCCAGGAGCTGTCCGCGTAGTGACTGGAGAAGGTAGCTCCCCACTACACCATTATAGCCCAGTGGAAACCAGAGGCACAGGGAAGCACTGTGCCAGATTTCAAAGGACAAAAGGGCTCTACCGGTGATGGGGACAGGGACAGGACTGCAGAGTTCTGGGTTGGTTTTGCTTTGCTGAAGTTTGACTTCATGGCTTGTTGGTGACACACCCATTGAGATGTACTTCTTGAGAATGTGGGGCTCGCTTTAGGTAAACAGGCTATGGGCTGGTAGAAAGGACATTTCACTAGGGCAAGGGTGAGGTGACTTGGAGCCTTTAGAAGAAGGTCTCTGTACCAGATAGTTGATCACCTTTCCCTAGGATATTACTCAGCATTAGGCTTAGAACAGTGAATGGAAGCGTGGCAAGAGTATGAGAGCTACCGAGCTTGGTCTGCGCTCCCTCTTCCTTGGCTTTCTGGAGAGAGACTTGGCATGGACCTCTGATCACATGCTTGTGCCCGGCTCCAGCCTTTGCTCACTTGCCCAGATTTCCCTATAAACAAGAGCTTGGTCCAGAGCAGTGCTGGCGCTGTAGTATTGGTGGTTATCTACAGGCCCCATCAGGTTAGTCTCCCGTCCCTTGGCTGCAGGGGAGTCTACTAACTATGGACTTTTGCCTACGGTTACTTTAGTCACACTGGCTTGAAGCCCACCTTCAAGTTTAGAAAGCAAAGAGGTCTGGAGATCTCCAGCCCTGAGTATTCCCAGGGAGATACCTTGACCTGGTGTAGGCTCCACCTCATGGTTAAACTGTGTCTCCTAAGTTCTAAGACAGAGAAGAAAATGTAGCTGTCATACCTCTGAACCTGTCACATGAATTTCCTGCCCAAGACCCCAACACTGGAAAGAGGTGACTCCTTCCATGGCTTGCATCTGAGGACTGTGACCCAGAAGGACACGTGTCCATCTCTTCACTATACCAGCCAGTGAGAAGCACTGAGGTGCCTGCTTTTCTTGGAGGAAAGGTTGAGGAGCTGAGCCAGGGTAAAGTGTCTTGCATTGGAGCAGCTGAGTGAGGAGGGAGGGAGCCTTAGCTGGCTCTCAGCTAAGAGCCTTTTGAACAGTTGCACAAGGACTCCAGGCTTGTAAAATTAGACCCTGGGATGGGGTCAGGAATGGGATGGCAACAGTGTGGTCCCTGAGAAGCAGAGAGAGGAACATGAGCTGGTTTCCCATTCCCTTGGGCAGTTCTGAAATCTGGAGGTAGCCTGTGATCAGCAGGGGTCTGAATGGACTGAACGTGTGAGCTGGTTTCCCATTCCCTTGGGCAATTCTGAAATCTGGAGGTAGCCTGTGATCAGCAGGGGTCTGAATGGACTGAACGTGTGAACTGGTTTCCCATTCCCTTGGGCAGTTCTGAAATCTGGAGGTGGCCTGTGGTCAGCAGGGGTCTGAGGGGACTTGAGGACACTCCTCCCGTGACAGGTCTCCCCATTCTGAGAGCCCCAGACCATGGTTGACTGCTTTTTTCATAGGCACCTACCTGGAACCCATCCGATTGCTTTTCCTTGCTCAGTACTGAGTCCTTGCGCATGGATCAGATCACACCACCCTATGGGGCAGGCTATCCAGCACAGGCTGAGAAATCTCAGAAGGCATCCTCATTCCTCTGCTGTTTAAACTCCCTCAGGAAGTCACAAATCAAATAGAAATTTCATGATGTTTTTGTTTGCTATTTCTCCAAGTTCTCAAGCCTCCTGGGTTTCCAACTTCCCTTGTTAAAAGGGGCAAACAGTATAGATTGGGGAAGCTTCAGGCTCAGGCTGCCTCTTGACTTCAGATTCTTGAATGTGAACGAAACTCCCGGATCTAAAGCTGGCTCTCTAACTCACCATGGTATGTCTCTGGGCAAGAATCTACTGAGGTTAGTTTACTGTCTGCAGAGTGTTGAAAGACAATAGCCTCCTGGACCTGGAGGGCCTGAAAAACCAAATGGAGGCTTTCTTAACCATGTCCTTAAAGCATGGGCCAGGCTTCACATCTTCCCACCCATCCATCTCTGTGCAGATCACTCAAGCAGTTTGTGGCCAAGTGGACACTTTCAGCCAGTACTGTGTTGACATTGTCTCTAAACAACATGGAGAACTGGCTGTGTCCACATAGCCCTATCCTAGAAATTAGCACCAAAGACTGGGGTGATGCCCATGGCCTGGAGGGATTTGAAAGTTGTTGAATGAGAGGGTTCCTGAGTGGACTAATGGCAGGCCATGTGGCCCATCAAACCAAAAGCACACATGCTCAGAAAGCCCCTTAATCCCCTTCGTGAGCTGATCCCTCTGGTCCACTGGCATGAGAATCGTTCTGGTGCTAGCCTAGTGTGGAGTGGGAGGGTGGCTGCCCATGTTTGTCATCAGCATTTTCCAGTTTCTCACCACAGCAACCCTGGAAAACTTCCTCAGAGCTTCCCAGGTTCCCCAGACTCTGACTAGCTGGGAAGGCATATGGTGAAATGTGTGCTGAGAGCGAAAAGAGCCACATGGAGAGGGATACCAGCTCCCAGGGGTTCAGAGAAAGCAGGGTAAGTAGACCAGGGAGTGGGACAGTCCTGAAGGGAAACTGGAGAGAGGTGCCATTTGAAATGGCATTAGCAGAGATGGAGGGAAAGCTTGGCTACCATGTATCTGCCACCCAGAGGCCAAGCACATTGCCCCTTATGATCTTAGTCAACTCTAGCTACTGCTTTGTTAGCGCCAACTGTCTAACTACTCAGCAACTTTGAGGAAAGTTTTTTTTTTATTTTTTAATAATTTTTATTTATTTATTATGTATACAATATTCTGTCTGTGTGTATGCCTGCAGGCTAGAAGAGGGCACCAGACCCCATTACAGATGGTTGTGAGCCACCATGTGGTTGCTGGGAATTGAACTCAGGATCTTTGAAAGAGCAGGCAGTGCTCTTAACTGCTGAGCCATCTCTCCAGCTCTGGGTTCAATTCCCAGCACCCACATGGCAGTTCACAATTGTCTGTAATTTCAGTTCTGGGGGACCCAACACCCATGGCAAAACACTAATGCACATAAAATAAAAATAATAAATTTTTAAAAAGCATTTTAAAAAGCCGATTGAGGGAGCGCTTATGAGGCTAGCAAGAAACCCAGCACTAGGGAAATTCCCAGGAATCCACAAGGATGGCCCAGCTAAGACCCTCAGCAATAGTGAGAGGGGGGGCCCCAGAACAGGTCTTCCCCAGTAATCAGATTGATGACTGCCTTAATTGTCATCATAGAGCCTCCATCCAGCAACTGATGGAAGCAGATGCAGAGATCCACAGCTAAGTCCTGGGCAGAGCTCCCAGAGTCCAGTTGAAGAGAGGGAGGAGCAATAATTTGACACCCACAGAAACATCTGACCTGAGCTAGTGGGAGCTCACTGACTTCAACTGACAGTGGGGTAGGGGTGGGGGGCTGCATAGGATCAAACTAAGCCCTCTGAATGTGGGTGACAGTTGTGGGACTGGGGCAGTCTGTGGGGACACTGGCAGTGGGACCAGGACTTATCTCTAGTGTTTGCACTGATTTTTTTGAAGCCCGTTCTCTTTGGAGGGATACCTTGCTCAGTGTGAATATAGGGGGAAGGGCCTTGGTCCTGCCTCAGAGTGCTATGCCAGACTTTGTTGACCCCCCATGGGAAGTCTTACCCTCTCTGAGGAGTGGATGGTGAAGAGGGATGGGGTGAAGGTGTGGGGAGCAGGAGGATGGGAGGAAATGGAACTGAGATTGGTATGTAAAATGAGAAAAGATTGTTTTAAAATTTAGAAAAAATAGCCAGGTGGTGGTGGTGCATCTCTTTAATCCCAGCACTCAGGAGGCAGAGGCAGGTGGATCTTTGTGAATTTGAGGCCATCCTGGTCTACAGAGCGAGTTCAGGACAGCCAGGGCTACACAGAGAAACTCTGTCTCGGAAAATGAAAAAAAAAAAAAAAGTAGCTACAAAAGTGCTGTGTTTGCTGTGGCCACCAGGTGGCAGCAAGATGGGGGTTTCCTACCTCAGTACAGATGAAGGGCCTCCTGAAAGAAGCAGACAGACCAGTGTGGAAGGCACCTTCCCTCTCCACTGCTCCTTCCTGTTTCCTCCTCTTTTCTTATGGGGGAACTGAGGGCACTTGTCTGGATCCAACAATGTCTTAATCCCCAGGGTTTGGTCATTCCAGAAGCTTCCTAGACATCTATGAGGAGTTAGTTCCTCAGAGAAGCAGACTAGTGTGCATGGTTTTTAGTTGGGGAAACCCCTGTGAGAAAACGAGGGGGCGGGGTTGAGTTCACCAGGGTTGTGGGGGCTGTAGTGTGTCAGTGTGGTGCTCTGGTCTGTTTCTGAGGGAGGGAGATGGAGGGAAGAAGGGTGAGTGGATGGCTGTGGTGTGAAGATGGTTACTAGAAACTTCAGGGAGCCAAAACAGATCGCCAGGGGGCTGGTTCAGTGCTAAAGAGTACTGGCTGCTCTTC